GCAGAGAATACAGTGGAAGGGATCTGGTGTGAGGTGCAGTAGGGTGACCATCAGCTGAGGTAATATTGTTGTAGCAGATTTTGCCCGAGTCCGAGCTCGTGGCATGAAGGGTGTTATTATGGGACCTCAGCAGGTGCCATAGCAGCCCCTGTTTGCGTAGCAACCCAGGCCTCCCAGGCCGTAGCCAAAGCCACGGCCATAGCCCAGGCCGTAGCCTCCGTAGCCAAAGCCGCCGGAGATGGGCTGTCCCTGGACGTTGAGCTCCGTGCCCAGGGCAGCCCCTGCGGTGGATCCGACGAAGGAGCTCTGGGGGAAGGAGGTCATGATGGGCCCTGGGAAGGTGACGCGGACGGGGGAGGGCTGGATGAGGACGGTGGAGTCCTGGCACTGCCTGACACAGGGCTCGTTGCAGCTGTTGGCCAGCGGGGTGGGTCCACAGGGGCGGCAGAGGTCGTAGCAGGCCATGGGTGTGGTGTGGAGGGGCCCTGGGAGGGCAGGCAAGAGAAGAGAAGAGAAGGGGAGAGCAGAGAGGGGTGTGAGGCAGCTGCGGGCGCTGGGGGTGCTGGGGGCGGTGTTGCAGGAGGGCTGGGCAGTGGGGAGGCTGGTGTGGGGCTGTGGGGAGGCGTGAGGGCTGCTGAGGCTGGGGCAGAGCGTGCTGGCCGAGAGGGCCCAGGGGGGCAGTGTGTCAGGAGCAGGAAGGGGTTGTGAGGGGCTGGAGGCTCACCTGGTTGTGGGCAGAGAAGGCAGGAGAAGGCTGGAGGAGAAGGGTGTGAGGGAGAGAGGCGCTGGGCCGGCTTTTATGCTGCTCCCGCAGGGGCGGCACAGCCTTGGCCCAGCACTGTCAGCTGGCGGCAGCTTTGAGGAGTTGGGATTTGCGAGGGTTGGATTGTTGGATGTGTGTCAGGGAGGGCTGAAGAAACAACCCGAACTTAAGAGAGGTGTGATGTCATCAGTGAGGTGATTTTGTGGCCCTTGTGTGCTGTGGTTTGTGGATGTGTTGTGGATTGTGGATCTTCTTGTTCTGTGTGACTGGATGTCCATCAGTCATTGCGTCTCACCCAGGAATTCTGAAGGAGTCATCTGAGTCCTGGGGAGGTCACTCTCTATCATCCTGGAAAGGTCATGGTCCTTTGGAGCAATTCTTGCGGGATGAAAGGGAGGTGATCCCCTGATATCGTGATGTAGTTCAAGATAGAGGACCTGGAAAACTTGAGGCTACTCAGGCTGAAATCAGGCTGATCTCGTTCCATTCCTATGGTCCACTTGGATTTCTGAAATTTTCATGATAAGGTACTTGTTCATTTAAACTTTGTTTATTGCATTTCTTCAGGACCTCAAGAAATAAAGACCCAACTGGGCTCGATCCCTTTTTGCCCAGGCTGGTCTGGGATTTCCATTCCCTTCTTCTGCATTCAAGCCATGAGGTTTCTTAATGTATAACTTCTAAGTTGTAACATCCTGTACCTGTGAGCAAAAACTGTAATTACTAGTTGATGGTCAGTGGGCTCCACTCTCCTCTTCTGTCATTTTGCGGATGCTCCTTTGTGGAATTCTGTGATTCTATGTCCTTCCCTTGAGGCCGCGTCCATCTGACCTCGGAGGCAGCTTTGATGAGTTGGTTTTTCAGAGGGTTGGATTGTTGGATGTGTGTCAGGGAGGACTGAAGAAACAACCCGAGCCCAGGAGAGGTGTGATGTCATCAGTGAGGTGATTTTATGGCCCTCGTGTGCTGTGGGCTGAGTGGGTGAGGTGGGGTGTGTTTTCCTTTCCACAGTGCTCCCTTTCTGTGTCCTCCTCTTGCAGATGTGTCCTTGTGGTGGCAGCTTTGAAGGGAGAGTTGGTATTTGGGAGGTTGTGCCTGGAATGTGCTTGTGGGGGCACTTGGCAGATGCAGACAACACCTAGGAGAGGTGGGGTGTCCTCTGTGATGTCACCTGATGTCACTCACATGCTGTGGTTTTGTGGAGTTGTGTGATTCCATGTCCTGCCCTTGAGGCTGTGCTTGTCTGACCTTGGTGGCAGCTTTGATGAATTGGGATTTAAGAGGATTGGACTGTTGGATGTGTGTCAGGGAGGGCTGAATAAACAAAAAGGCCAAGGAAATTGGTGGTGCCAT